GAGCTATTAGTTAAGTTCTCCCCAAACGAGCTTGATGGGCCGAATGGCCTCCTCTCATTTGTAAATTTCTTATGTTCTTATGTTGGTCAATTACAAGACAAAGTAAAATCTTGGGGTTACCACATCTCCAAAAAAATCATCAGACACCCCCTTAATACTAACAGATTTTTTGAAAGGTATGACAGAAAGAAGCCTTTTCTGTCAGTTACTTAAAATGTAAGTGCCAGGAGTTTGCAAAACATTACTACAACTTTGATTGGAATCAAATTCAATGGTCTGATGAAACAAAAAATGAACTTTTTGGCAATAAACATTCAAGGTGGGTTTGGTGTAAAAAGAAGGATGGCTATAATGAAATTAACCTTATTCCAACTGTAAAATATGGTGGAGGTTCTGTGATGTTGTGGAGCTGTTTTTCCTCCAAAAACCCTGGAAACCTCATTAGGGTACATGGCACTGTGGACTCAATGAGATACCAGGACATTTTATATCAACATTTGGCTGCCTCTGCCAGGAAAGTAAAACTGGGCCTTCATTGGATCTTCCAGCAGGACAGTGATCCTATGCACATGTCCAAATCAACATAAAAATGGCTGACCACAGAATCAAGCTTCTGCCATGGTCATCTCAGTCACCTGACCTGAACCCCACTGAAAACCTGTGGGCTGAGCTGAAGAGGAGAGTGCACAAGAGAGGGCCTAGGACCCTGGACGATCTGGAGAGATTCTGTAAAGAGGAATGGTCTCAGTTGCCCTGCTCTGTATTCTCCAACCTTATAAAATGTTATAGGAGAATACTCAGTGCTGTTATACTGGCAAAGGGAGGTTGTACAAAGTATTAAAAGCAGGGGTGCCAATAATCGTGGCACATGTGTTTTTGTTGAAAATAATTATTTCTTGCTGAAGGATTTGTTTTTCTTTAAATACATTTATTTCAATGAAAGGTTGGATTTTTCTCATTTTTTCAGTGTGAGATGAAGATGCTTCGCCAAAAGGTGGATTTTTTTCTAACCCTTTTTACAAATCTTTACAAGGGGTGCCAATAATTGTGGAGGGCACCGTAACAATATACAGTCGACCCTTCTGCGTCACGACACTCCCCGTTGTGGTTTCGATATATTGTGGGGTTGGTATATGAAATTAAATGGCAATTACCTTTGAGTTTTTGTGAGTTTTGCGAAAGCAGCTGTTACGATCGCTGCCCGACAAGCAGTGGCGGAGCCAGGAAATTTTCTGTGGGGTGGCCAGGATGATTATGTGATCATTTTGGGGGTGGCCACGGCCCCCCCCGGCCACCCCCTGCCTCCCCGCCTGTGCATGGATGGCTGTGGTCAGACCAGGGGGGGCCAATAGGGTGGCCGGGGTTCGGCGGGGGGTGGCCACGGCCACCCCCTGCCTCCGCACCTGCCGACAAGCAGGCAGGACGCAGGGAAATGATCAAGCAGGCAAGCGAAGATCCACGAAGACGGGTTTATTCCAGACAGGCAGGACAACACAGTTACTAACATTAATGACGGATCTAGGGATACTGACACAGACGCGGACTAAATACACAAGAAAAGCCAGGATTCACAGAAAACAGGTGCACACAATCAGGAATTGACACGAGGTAATGAGGGGGCGTGGCACACACGAGGATCGTACGGAGCTGGGCGTGACAGCAGCAGACAACACAAAGAGTTTAGGAACTCAAACCTGCATAAAATATACATTTGGTGCTGATTCGGAGGCCGCCAAGTGTGTTAACCCCAGCATCTCACATGATGGGCTCTATTTTCCACCTATACAAAGCGCAACACAAAGTGGTTTTGTTAGTTTCATACCAGCACATTGGTCATTTTCACGACCATAATAAATGATTTTGCACCTGCTTTCCGCTAGTACGAGTGGTGTTTTTAAATGAATCATGGCTGGGGCACATTGTTGGCATGTTGCTATTTTAAGGCAGCATTGTGCTGTTAACCAACAAAAACCACTTCAGAAGTCAGTGGCGCATTATTAAATGGTAATTAGCAGCGTGTTTTAGAAATTTGTGGGTGCACGACGCTCATTATTGACACAGATACACGATCAAAGTAATGTTTTTTTGTTATTTTATTTTATTTATATACGTTCTTCATAGAGTACATCTAGTCCTTTCATGTAATCTGTAATACTGTTTAATGAAACGTCAAAAGAAAAACAATATGTATCAAGTACCAAACCATTTCCTTGACATTGCTGTCTCTCTACTGGGTCCTGGTGTCTTGATGGAACAGATGGTAAATAGTACTTGTTCTTTTGTATATGTATAATTTTTGGAGTGTAGTTTATTCTTTTCCTTTCTACAGCAGGGAGAAATTATGGATCTGCATGGAATATTGTGGCGGTGGCTCCCTTCAAGACATCTATCATGGTATTTCAAATCCTCTGTGTTAGTCACGAATCCATGAGCATAAAAAATTGCTGTTTTTTTCTTACTTTTATTTGTAAATTGAGTTCGGTCAGAATTATGGGAGGTATTTCCTGCCAAAAAGAAAACAAAAATGATAAGATAAAAATAGAATGTCTTTTTATTTTATCATTATCTTTTTTATTTTTTCTTTCGAAGGAAATACCTTCTATACCTCCCATACCTTTCCTGTTAGACAATGAAAAGTGCCTCTTAATGCCAAATATAATGTATACAATATATTCTTTAGGTGCAGTAGACTTTGCTTTTACAATTTCCTCTCTCCACCCCCCTTTCCTTTATTAGTGACTGGTCCCCTGACAGAGCTCCAGATAGCTTATGTGTGCAGGGAAACATTGCAGGTAATTACACCTGTCATTGATAGATAAAATAATAATTAATTAGAAGTTGGAGAAGTGGATTATTTTTTAGAATTTCTTTATAACTATGTATTGTCCTATTTGCTTCTTTAGGGCCTGGGATATTTGCACACGAAGGGTAAAATGCATCGTGACATAAAGGTATTATGATTGTCTGCTACAATGCATTTTAAATTTAAATGTTGAGGTTTTTGAAAGATTAAATCATTTGTGCCCCTAAAATTAGAACATATATTTGAAGACAAGTACTGATGTTTAGCATTGGTTGATTCTAAACATAGCTAATTATATAAACTCACTAATCTCAGGGCTTCATTTATCTGGTTTCAGAACATGTAGAATGCACTCTCCAACCCTCTGTCCAGGTCAGGGTCATGGTGGGGCTTAAGCCTATTCCAGACAGCACAGGGAACAAAGCTATTTTACAGGGCTAAATATTGTTATAGTTACTCACCCTTCATTCACCATCACTTTTGCATCTGCTGCTTGTATGTGAGATGATTTGGTTATTTTATATTCCTTTCAAAAACTTTGGACTCATCCTGCTTCCAGTTGTATAACCAGGGATTGATATGACTGGTACGCAAGTACACGATTCACCTTTAAAAGCAATATGTGCGGCAATCGATTGTTTTAACAGCATGAATGCGTACGCCTTTTATGTGCATTCATACTGCAAATGAAGTACGAATTAGCACTTTGGACAGAAGCTTCTGCTAAATCAATGTATAAAAATACAATCAATCAATAAAAAATAAGAAGAAACTAAATCAAAAGAAAAATTGTTGCAAGTGCTCAAAATTTACTTATCTTAAATTTTTTAAAAGAGTGATAAAATTTGAAAAGAATCCTTGTAAAGGTACTGGTATTTCTTGCCAGTACATACCATGACAAAAGTCACACATATAAAGTATGATGCAGTTTTGAGTGTGGTGCATGTAATCTGAATTTTAATTATGTGTAATGCGTTACATCTCATAAATGACTTCTTTGCGTATGACAGTTGTCACATTGACATTCTCTAAGGGTACGTCCACACTAATACTTATTCGTTTAGTAACGCAAAAATTTTCTTCTGATTTAGCCGTCCATCTGCACTACTGCGGATCTTTTTTTTTCCCAGAAGCGGAGAAAAATTTCAGTGCTGTCCGACAACTAATCGTTCTGTAAATGCACTAGTGTGGATCTTTTCTGATTAGTTGTCCTTGTTTCGATGTCTCTTTTCTTAATTGGTTATTCTTCACCAGAATTAAGAATACTTTTCCTTCTTTTCACGGAAGTAAGCCACATGTGAACATGGAGGATGTACAGGACCTTCGCTACGTGGCATATGTTGTTTTGCTAACTTGTGTGCAGCTAAATTGTGTTTTGTGTACATTGTATGCTGTCTACAACTATTGTGAAGCTCAAAATGAAACTCTACTTGAGCCAAGTTTAAGTGCAGCTCTAGCTTATGATAAATACGTCCAGCCGTCAAACATTAGAGTGCACTGAAACTGAGGGGAAGAGAGTGAGACGTGTAGGATCCCTGTGTTGTTGCTGTGATGGTTCCTTTTATATACAGTTTTGCATTTGCGTCGCTACAGTACTGTGATATTTCGTTTCTGCAAAATAAAATGTGTTCATTTCCTTTAAACGTATGGTTGTGTGTGGGATTAATCAACAGTCAAGCGTTTATAAAAACTGAATTTTATTACTAATCAAAGTGTTCAAAATATTCAAAATATATACGTTGCCACTTGTAGAATCATAAAAAATGTTTTGGTTGGATTAAAAATGTGCAAGTGACACATTGTGCTCGAGCTACAACAAACAAAATATGAAGTGCGACTCTTCTAAAAATATATTATAAAAAGCTTTGCTTAAATGTACAAATGAAAATGTCAGAAATATATACATTAACAACCACTCTTATATACAATATATTCAATTACACAAATGCTAAAGCTAATTATTTGTGTAGTTGTAAGCTATATCTTTTGCCTTTTATACGGAGCAGTGTGAATGCAGAAGTTTTTTCAACGCAAGTGACAATGATGGCAGATCTTTTCTTTCGGAAACTACTGAAAAAAAAATTCTTGCGGATCCTGTGTAACATTTTTTTAAGAGCTATATATGTATTATATATCTATGGAACCTATTGACCGATTTGTATCACAAATTCAGCAGTTCCCCTCTCTCGCTCTATCTATCTATCTATCTATCTATCTAATCTATCTATGAATGATATTTTTTCCTCATGGATAATGTTCCACTTTTTATTCTACACAGGGTGCCAATATCTTGCTAACAGACAGTGGGGATGTGAAGTTGGGTAAGATTTTTTTTCCTGCTTTACTACTGTTTTCCATGATGTCTGTGAGAGTTGTGATTTTGAAAAAATGCCAACTTTTATTCCAGCTGATTTTGGAGTGGCAGCAAAAATTACTGCTACAATTGCCAAGAGGAAATCATTCATAGGAACTCCTTACTGGTTAGTTTAACTTCTTTTGTTCAGTTTCAATAAACGGTATCTAACATACAATATTTAAATTCTCTACTTTACGATGATATGAATGGGTAAGAATGGGTAGAATCATTTGTTTGTTTGCCCACAATGCAGGATGGCCCCTGAAGTGGCAGCTGTAGAGAAAAATGGAGGCTATAATCAGCTCTGTGACATCTGGGCAGTGGGCATTACCTCCATTGAAATGGCTGAGCTGCAGCCCCCCATGTTTGATCTGCACCCCATGAGGTATACTCATCTCTTCAAGCTAATTGAAGAACTAATGCTTCATACTTGTGTTAATGAATCTGTATGTTATTAAGTGTGTTTTATTTCCATTGAAATTATAACTAATCTGTACCATTTTTTGTGTGACATTTTATTACAGGGCTTTGTTTTTAATGTCAAAGAGTAGCTTCCAGCCTCCCAAGCTAAAAGACAAAAATAAATGGTAAGTTTTCAAATGCAAATTGTATATAAGTAGTCACGTCAAGCCAAGTCATGTGGTGCTTTATTGTCACTTCAGCCATATTCGATACACTGCTTATGGTGACACGAAATAATGTTCCCCCGGACCATGGTGCTACATATATACATAAAGTACGTAGATAGTCATGACCGTGGCGGGGGCAAGGCAAGTAAACACTCATGTCTCAAATGGACAATGGTGGAGCAACAGAGTGGTTTGTAGGAGTACATAATAAAAAATTAAAGATAAATACAGTGCAAATGGCAATAAAGTGACAAACTGCTGGTGGTCATCAGAGTTAGGTCTGTGGGGAGGGGGGCAGCAAAGAGTTCAGTGTCCGGATTGCCATGGGGAAGAAGCTGTTGCCAAATCTGACAGAACTGGGTTAGATGCTCCGATACCTTCTGCCAGAAGAAAGGGGAGTTGAGACTGTGGGAAGGGTGGGAGGCATCTTCTATGATGCTGGAGGCCTTACAGATGTCATAAAGATGTCAACAATGGAGGGCAGTGAGGTTCAAATGATCTTCTTAGCTGCATGCACTATCCATGGTAGGGTTTGCGGTTGGAGATGTCGTAGTTCCCAAACCGTACAGTGATGTAGCTGGGCAGAACACTCTCGACTGTGCCCCTGTAGAATGAATTGAGGAATAACGTCCTCTTTAGCAGCCATAGGAATTGAAGATGCTAGTGTGCTTACTTGACTAAGGAGGAGGTATTGAGGGACCAGATGATTGCCAGCTGTCAGGTGCACTACAAGTCATCTGGTGGTCCTCACTGACTCTCCTGCAGATCGCTTATTGTGCACTGGGGGGGGTGGACAGTATGGGACTGTCTGAACTCAACAACCATCTGTTTCATTTGGTTCACGTTAAGAGATATATTGTTGAACTTACACCAGTCCATTAGTTGTTGAATCTCCGTCTGCGTCAGGTGGGTGAACAGGAGTGCGCTGAGCACACAGGTCTGGCGCGCACCACTGCTTAGTGTGGTGGATTTTCTGGATGTCTTCGTCTCTGATGCGGACTGCCTGGGGTGTCTTTATCAGGATCCCGTTGCACATGTACATGCTGAAACCTAGCAGGCTCAACTTCCCTATGAGCTGCTGCGAGATGATGGTGTTGAATGCTGAGCTGAAATCAATGAACAACATTCTTACATTTGTGTTCTTCCTTTTGAGATGGGAAAGGGCCAGATGGAGGGCAGAGAAAATTAGAATGATGTTTAGAATGGCATCTTCAGTGGACCGGTTTAGGCGCTAAGCAGGTGCCCCATGAGTAGCCTTTTGAAGCACTTTATGATGATAGGTGTTAGTGCTACAGGGCAGTGGTTGCTGAGGCAGGAGATAGAAGACTTCTTCAGCTTGAATATGATGGTGGTGGCCTAGAAACATATGGGGAGAATGGCCTAGAGGAATGTTAAAAATGTCTGTGAAGACATTTGCTAGCTGGTTCACACATTCCTTGACAACACAGTCGGGTATTTTGTCTGGTCTAACTGTTTTTCATGGATTTACTATCAGCTGAGTTCTTTTCACATCAGCTGTGGATAAACACAGTACCTGTCCTTCAGGAGGGAGAATGGTTTTCCTTGCAGACATGCTGTTCATGGCGTCTAACCATTCGCAGAAGCCATTCAGTGCATCTTAAAGGGAAGCATTACTGCCGCAGATGGGTGGTGTGGTCTTTTAGTCCACAATGGCCTAGATTCCCTGGTACATGCGCCATGAGTCTCTGGTGTCCTGAAACTGGCCATTGATTTTCTTGTTGTATGCATACTTAGCTGCCCTAATGGCCCCTGGATAGGATTGCCCTTGCCATCCGGAGGGCTGCTTTGTTGCCCAATCTAAATGCAGCATCATGGGCTTTTAACAGCGTACACGCCTCACATGTCATCCATGGTTTCTGGCTGGCATGTGTGGTGATGGTCTTGCAGACAGTCTCATCATCTATGCACTTTTTGATGTAGCCAGTGACTGATGATTCATACTGCTCCAAGTTGATGAGATGAGCATCAACCATCAGAATGACCAGCAATGCCAGAAAGCCGAACAGGGACAGGGCGGGGTCAAATGGTGCTGATCCTGACAAATTAATGGGTATGGATGACAAGTGTTTGACTGAGCCGAAAACAACATTGTGCAGTGTAGGAACCAGCTCAGTCAAATATGTTCCTGTTTGTTTGATTCTGTTCCAGTACAGCTTTAGGCTATTTTAATGCAAGGGCAGTGGCACATATGGCGGTTAGTGATAGATCAGTGACCATTCATTTCTTACAGGTCAGCGTCTTTCCATAATTTTGTGAAGTACTGTCTGATCAAGAACCCGAAAAAAAGGCCAACTGCAGAAAAGCTCCTGACGGTAAACTGACCTATATGTGGATTTTTAAAATTATTTAATTATGAATGTTGATTCAAGTGATGAGTTAAGTTGCAAGATGTCATCATATCTTTTATAAACAAACGAGAAAGCTGAAAATAATTGTCATGATATACATAATAAGGTTTTTCAGAATTTTTAACCCTTGTAAGGAAACTTTATTTCAGGTTTTACCATTTGGTACTTCAGAATTGTCTGAAACCCTAGATAGATATATAAAGCAGATTTCCCCTTTTCAGTTCTTAATGGTTTGATGCAATGGCTTTCAGAATAGTTAAAAAAATTGTAAATTGTAATAATTAATCATTCTCAGTATATAGGCTAGCTGTTTGCCAATTCACAAATTGGAAGTATTTCATGGAGCATTTTTTTTATCATTCTTCACTGTGTTTTTAAATATTGTATGCACACCCCTTCTAACCAGAAATATATATTTCTGTTCCTAAATAATAATCATTATAATTTATGAAAAGGGAACAGAACTGAAATTTATTTAACAAAAATAACATAGAAAGATTTAACATTTCTTTTTTTTCCTTGCTTAAATGTAGTGCTGAAAAAAAAAGAGTACTCCCTTGATTAAATTCTGCAAATATGTAATATCGTTCTACTTAGTATGTCCTTTACATTAGATCCTTCTTGTCACTGAGTATTCCAATCCACGGCATCCTTTACCACTCTTGCAGGAGACCTTGAGTGCCTTGATGTTTGATGGCTAATGGTGTGCATCTTTTTTCTTCAAAATTCCCTACAGGTGCCCAATGTGGTTGAGGTCAGGTGACATACTTGACCACATGAGAATTTTTTACTTGCTTAAGAATGCAGCAGTGGCCCAAAATATTTTTTTTAAAAAAATGGGGTGATTATCATATTGAAAAAGTTCCCTGTGAACCAAGGGTTTGAAGAGAAGGTAGCAAACTTTCTTATGGGATCTTGCAGTATCTCTCTGAATCCATTATGCCATTCATGAAGTGCAGCTCATATCTCTGCCATGCTTTACTTTGGGAACTTACACTTATCACTGTACAACTCCCCTGATGGACACCATGCCCTTTGAATGCCATCAGATCGGGAAAAAATGATTTTGGTCTCATACGACGAGAGAGCAGATTTCATGTAATGTTGCGAAAATGTGTTACACAAATAAAATTGAATCGAATTGAACTGCATCAAATCGAATTAAGTCAAATCGAATCGATTCTAGGCAAAGGTTAAATCTTTGTTTGGCTTCAGCTGTGTAGTCAGCAACCATACAAACAACTTCTCTAAAGGATGCGTCTTATTGCATGACATGAAACAGTCCCTCTAGTTTGTCTTTCCACAGCTTTTAGCGATGTTGAGGCACTTCCTTTCTGATCTTCCTGAGCAGAAAACACTCATGAAATGGTGTCAGCTTACAATGGCAGCCTGAACATTTCAAAGTCAAAGTCAGCTTTATTGTCAATTCTGCCACATGTACAGAACATACAGAGAATTGAAATAACGTTTTCTCACAAACCCTAGTTAACAGTAACATTAATACAAAAAAGAATACAAGTAAGAAAAATATGAATAAATAAATACAATATACAAGGGCACGTGGCAGAGAGTGCAGATCAGACATAAAGTGCAATAGAGCTCGTAAGAGGTGATAAGTAATAACGAGCAGCCTTGGACAGACAGTCATTTATGAGGTAGGCTGAGTAGCAGACTAATGCTACACAAAGTGACTGGTGCAGGTGAGTGAGTGTGTGTGTGTGGGTGTTAGTGTGTGTATAACAGAGATTCAGAAAGTTGCAGAAAGTCCGTGGGGCAGAAGGGGGGAGTGAGGGGAGTGGGGGCAGAGCCGGGAGAGAGTTGAGCTTCCTGACAGCCTGATGGATGAAGTTGTCCTTCAGTCTGCTGGTCCTGGCCTGGAGACATCGCAGTCTCCTCCCTGATGGCAGCAGGCTGAAGAAGCTTTGCATTGGGTGGGTGGGATCGGCTGCTATGCAGAGAGCTTTCTTGGTGAGACGGGTACTGTAGATGTCCTGGAGGGAGGGGAGAGGGACACCAATGATCCTCTCAGCTGCTCTCACTATGCGTTGGAGGGTTTTATGGCAGGATGCCTTGCAGGCTCCAAACCACACAGTGATGCAGCTCTTCAGGATGCTCTCAATGGTGCCTCTGTAGAAGGTGAACATGATGGGGGCTGGTGCTCTTGCTCTTCTTAGTTTGCGAAGGAAGTAGAGACGCTGTTGTGATTTTTTGGCCAGTGCAGTGGTGTTGTTTGTCCAGGAGAGATCCCAGGAACTTGGTACTGCGCACTCTCTCCACAGACGCACCATTGATAGTCAGAGGGGCGTGCTGAGTGTGCGCTCTCCTGAAGTCAACAACAATCTCCTTCGTCTTCTCCACATTCAGAGAGAGATTGTTGTCTCCGCACCAGGCGGCTCACCTCGCTTCTGTAATCAGTCTCATCCCTATTGCTAATGAGACCCACCACAGTCGTGTCGTCCGCAAACTTAATGAAGAGGTTTGAGCTGTGTGACAGTGTGCAGTCGTGGGTCAGCAGGGTAAAGAGGAGGGGGCTCAACACACATCCCTGAGGGGTCCCCGTGTTAAGAATGATGGTGCTGGATGTGTTACTGCCGACCCGTACTGCTTGTGGTCTTCCTGTAAGGAAATCCAACAACCAGTTACACAGTGAGGTGTTGAGCCCCAGCTGGACCAGTTTTTGAGTGTTTCTTACATGTTCATAATTTATATTTTTGAACAATGTTTTATGTTAAGGTGATTTGGCATAACACTAGTGATTTGCTAATTTTCTTGTATCCTTAACCTCTTTTGTGCAAGAAGAGTCCCCGGATAATTCTTTCCTGTGTGGTGCCATTGTCAAAATTAAGTCTGGAAATGATTAAATGGGTTTTATGGTTCAACATCTACCAATTAATTATTGTTCACCCTTAGAAGACAAATTGTATAATTTTATTTTGCAGTTTTCTTGGTGGTGTACTCATTTTTTGATCACAATGTTTCTTTGCAACATTAACCTTTTGTCATTTTGCATTTGTGTGTATGTCATATATACAATCCCAATCAAAAATGTGGACACACCAAACCACCTACAAAGGAGTGTGATAGTATTGCTTCACATGACCTGGCCACCTGAGCTATATACAGTAGAAATGTTTTTGGACAAGTTTGACCAGAGAGTGAAGGGAAAGTGACCAATGAGTGCTAAGCATATTCCAGGACAGCTGGAAAAGCACCCAGGAGGCCACCTCATGAAACTGGTGTAGAGGAGAATGTAGGGTCAGCCAGTCCCTGGAGTAGTTGGGGTTAAGAGCCTTGCTTAATCGTGGTTTCACTTTGCCAACCATGGTATTTTTCAGTCCCAACCCACAGAGCCCAAACCATTGGTTGGTGCCTAATTTCATAGACGTTATTTTAAAGTTTTATAGTTGTGGTGCCCTTTCTATGGGTAGGTGTGTCTAAACTTTTGACTGGTATTGTGAGTGCGTGAGTTAGTGCGTGCGTGCGTGTGTGTGTGCATGTGTGCATATACACTTATGTATGCTTCACCTTTCTGTACATTTCAAGGCTATTCCAGGATTCTAGACAGATTCTTCTTCCAGAGATATACAAAAATATTTTTGTTACCAGGTTGCCGTGTGCATTTCTGGCCTGCATTTATGGATAATATTAATATTGTACTGGGTTCAAAGTGTAGCACAGAATGAGGAATACTGGTTTATTCGTTTTGTGGAACCGACTGACCTCCTTGTTCTGTTTTTATTGCAGCATGTCTTTGTCGCCCAAATGGGGCTGACTAGGAGACTAGCTATGGAGCTTTTGGATAAAATGAATGACCCAGAAAGTCATCCACATTTCAGTGAGGTGGATGATGATGATCTAGAGGTATGATTTAAAATTTCCCATTAGTCACAGAGATAGTAAAGGTTGGGGGGCGTTTTCTGGGGAATGCTTTGACACCATCTAGTCTAACAAAAGGTGTATAGAATGCATATAAAGCAGTGTTATTGTATATTGTGACACAGACATCTTTTGCTTTCAGCCTCCCTCTAGAGTGAGGCTAACAATCCGGTCCACCAGCAAAATCTGTAGAGCAGAAAGAACACGCTCTGAAATCGACTGTAAGTATGTTTTGTACTTTTTCCAGAAAAGTTTTGGTTACAGTTGTTTTGTCCTGAGTCACTTACAAGCTATCAGAAACTCTAATTATAACAGTTAAAGTGGTTGCTGAAATTTATATATTGCTTTTATTTGGAATTTACTGGAAATGTTATAGATGAGGTTTCAGATGTCAGCTTGAAAAAGTAAAACAGTACCTTAGAGCTGTTATGATTATTTGAATTTAGAAAAAGCATCACTTAAAATTTGCCTTCTCAATTACTTGGCAGTATTGTGGAAGGAAGACAAAGTGTAGCTGATAAGAGTGCACATAAAAAGAGATTGAAAACTTCAGTTGTGTGGGAGCAGTTCACATTAAAAGTGAACGTGCATCTATCAATGCAGAACTTTAATATTACAATATCATAATTCCAATGCTCAAACAGCTCAAGAAGTAATCCACAGACTCACTCAACAAAGTGTGGTTAGCCATTGACAGTTATTAATTATGTGTCCTTGCTGTAGCCAAACTATCTTTGTCTTCACTTTGACTTGCCCTGGACTTCACGGAATACATATGGTTTTAGCAGCCACCACTGTCAGCTAGTACTTAATAGCACGCTCTGAGCTAATGGCCTGGGATGTTATCTGGACCAGTCCCTTTCCTTGAGTTTAATTTTCTCAGAGTCCTGCCCGCACATCTTGATGAGATGGTGAAAGAAGGGTCTTGCATATCCCCAACTTTTAGTCCATTCTTCTGTGACTCAGTGTTGAAGCATGCATAAAAGTAATTCAGTTTGTCAGGTAGTGTGGTGCTAATTTCCTCACTGTTCTTTTTCTGATAATCTGTAAACTGATGCAGGCCCTGCCACATGCGTTGGGTGTCAGCGTTCATGTAGAGACCCTGCAGCTTCTGTCGGTATTGTCTTTTGAACTCTTTGATTGATTTGAGCTGTGGCCAGTTCTGAAAGGACTGCGAAGCAGAGTTGGAAATGTAAGCATTTTACCCTGAGAATTAACCTGTATAAATGGGCAAAAAAGGTTGAGAGCCACTTCCCTACAGGGGTTGTATCTGGCTTTCTTATTGTCTGAGACAAATGCAGTGGAGCCGGCTTACAGCTTGGTCTGAACCTCACAGTTTATTCATGGATTTTGATTTGGGTAAATATGGATGATCTTGTTGGGCACAATATTTTCAGTGCAAGTACTGATGTAGCTGGATACCACTGTAACATATTCCTTCAGATGAACAGTATTGTCATGTTGCAAAGCAGTGGTTTTAAATACCTCCCAATCAGCACACTCAAAACAGTCCTGAAGCAGTTGGTCAGATTCCTCAGTCCATACTTTCACTGTTTTACTTACTGGGGGGTGCTGGAGAATCTGTCTGTATTCTGCATACAGGAACATTAAGATGTGGTCTGACTGTCCGAAGTGTGGGCAGGGTATATTCTTGTAGGCTCCTTTTACTTTGCTGTACACATGGTCCAGGACATTTTTCTGTCTGGTAGGGAAACATGTTGGTGGTACTTTGGTAGTAAAGTTCGTAATTTGCAGTTGTTAAAGTCGCCCACACTACAACCCCTGGCATAAATTATGGAATCACCAGTCTTGGAGGATGTTCATTCAGTTGTTTGATTTTCTAGAAAAAAAGCAGATCACAGACA